TTACTCGGTGAAACCTCAACCACTAAATCTGCTATTAAAGAAAAAAGTAAAATAGACTTCATATCAGCAATAGAGAAATACAGAATATTGAAAGTATAAGACCAATGTTCTGTTAACAAGCATTCCTTCGGGACCACACCTGGAGACTACACACTTGAGTGAATACTGAGTATACTCCTGGTAGGTAATTAACGCATAAAAACCACTTCCCCTCGTTTATATTTATCAAAAAAAGGATGTTTTGCTGTTTACAAGGAACAAAATCCCAACCAAACTTTACGAGACTCACAAAAGAATGATAATCATTAGTAGAATCAGTATCATAAACTGACAACGTCAAGCTCAAACAGCGTGGTGTTTCTGGAAGATACCCATGGGACTAACCCACCCAGCCATTTGGCTTTGTCAGCCTCGTGTTATCTGGGCATGGTCATCCCTATTCACTCACATACGGTCTAGGGCTGCCTTCACACTGCAATGGCAGACATGAGTAGATGTGACAGACACCACATGGCCTAAAATATTGACTCTCTGGCCCTTTATATAAAAAGCTTGTGCATCGCTGCTTTATGTCATAACTAGGAAACCCTAAGACTCAAATCGAATCTTCTTACTCTTCTGCTCAACATTCTTCAGTGAATCCACGCGGCTGCCATTGCTGGTTCCCAACTCGACAACCATTTCTTCTTCGTCGTCCTTGCCGGACAATTGCAACTTTTCTTGGATGTTTTCTGCCGCAGTATGCGAAGAAGGTAAACTCTCCTTAGCTGCAAAAAGAGAAATGATTATTCTGCGGTCATCACAGTAACTACATCTCCTTCCCCCATGGCTGGTTTAGGAATGAGCATGCGATGTAGCCCAGCCAATAAGATGCTAGGGGAAGTCTACCGGAAGCATCTCTGTTTTCTTCCTCGTTAACAGGAAACATGCAGAGAGAAGCAGCCCTCCTCACCTGCGGATACTGTCAGGTGAGAAGATGACGCTTGGAGCTGCTGCCAATCAGCAGACCGGGAAACGCGACATCAAACACCAGCAGCCTCACAGCTGAAGGAGGGACAGCGTCTGGGATCCTGACGACATCACCGAACCTTCTAACCAATCCTGACTCCTGTTGCTGTAGCCAGTTACTTCGGGCTCCTATTATTATTTGCAGCTAAAAGCATTCTGACAAATTTCCCAAGGTCTTCAGCAGATCTCCTCCTTTCTATAGTACTAGAAAGGCTTTCAGAAGCGTGCCTGAGCTAGGTAGTCACCTCATCCCCAACCATTCCTACAGCATCCTTCCTGCACCAACAAAATGAAACTCACAGATTCTGCAAAGTTCACTGGCACAACTTAGCCTCTGCACTGCTGTCCTTTCTGCCAAATGTAATCTTCAAAGATGTTCCACTCACCCAACACTGCCCTTCTGTCTCCTTCCTTGGCAAACTTCTACTCGCTCTGCATGGCTTACCTGCCATCCTATCCACTTTTAAAAAACTTCTTTCCTCACCATGGACTTAATTTGGCACATATTAAATACCAGTAAAAATATATATAAAGATAGTTACAAAGTCCTAGTGGGCTCTGGGACACAGCAAGCACAGAATAAACTAAAGCAAATCATAAAACTGGCGATGACAGTAACAAGCTCCCGGAGGCCAGGAACTGTGCTTTTGACCTGTTTGCATTCTGTAACGTCAGAGTGCTGCTTAGTACCTAAGCGACACTTGAGAGTCATCTGTTAAGTGGATGAATTAACAAATAAGAATGTTTTCTTTGAAAATCCTGTTTAAAAGATACAGACATTAACCAGGGACAACTCTTTTGTGTTATGAGCAGCTTGAAGACCAAAACTCTATTCAATCTTAGTATTTCCTACAACAGAAGTTCTTTGCTTGATCCAGGTCTACCAAGTTAAATGTGCCCTCATACAGTTCAGACCGAACAGCAAGCTAGGGGTCACATCTAGGCAACACAGTCTTCTTCTTTTTTTTTTTAATGTGAAGCACCTCTGTGCTTTTATTACAATTTGTTGAGTCCTGAGTTGTCCTATTTGAGTATTTATTATGACAATCCTTTAACTAATGGCAATAGAAAATCTTGTTCCAACAAAATATGGTTTCATGACAAGTATCCCCAAAAAGGAAGAAAACATCTGACTCTCATGAAGGCAACATATTTCATTCTTTTTGCACTTCTGAGGAATGCAAGCAGAGAGAGACCTTGTTGGTGTAATGATGCGAAAAGTAACCAGTGCTTCTCAACAAGGCACTGCTTTCCTGACTTCTGCACTATTACCAGGTATCTTTAAAAAACAATCTCTTATTACTATGCTGCACACTGGCCCAGCTGTGCAGTTCTAATTGTTGGCCATTTGTTAACAGCACCAGGAAGGTATTGCTGAGCTCCCGGTTTTAAAGATGATCACTTTTTAGTGAGACTAATCACTATGCAATAACTAGCATTCATTTACCCGATGTAATCCATTTGCTGTAAAAATTAAAAGACCCAGTTCTGTAACAAGGCCAACTTATTATAATGTTAGAGGAAATGTACAACAAAGTTAAAACCCTGTTTTTCTTATTTACACAAAGATATAATATCGGATTTCAGGGGCCATGATTAAATAAATGAATTTCTTTTCAGACAATATTGTCTCAGATTTTAAATTACCTATAATTAACTTCTTAAGTAATTCTGAATATTAGACCATTAAGAAAAAATTAATGAAAAGAATAAAAACATACATGAAATTTACACACTGGCTTTTTTCACTGCTCTTTCATTATCAAAATTTCCTCAATCTTACTTCCTTATCTATGGTAGGCCCAACAAGAGTAACTTACTACCAGAACTCTGTCCTAGGTCGCTATTTTGAGGGGGAGTATTTGGTATCTTTTCGTCTCTGTAGTCGACAATCTGCTGGTAAAGGCTATGTATAAAAAAATGGGATAAATAGATATTACTACCTGAATACTAATATGAAAAACAATTACCAAGTATATTAAATTCTTAGATTATTTCAGACAATATCAGAGATAATATCAAAACTTCAACTGTCCCATATACTTCGAATTTGTACAGTCTACACTTTTAAGTTTAGGATGTATAATTAAAAAAGAAAAAAGGTGAAGTAGTCATGAACTGAGGGCAGTATAGCTCAGTAAGTTAACTAGAGCGAGCCTGACATATGGAAAGTAACTCGAACTCAGAAGTCCCAGATCTATATCAGCTATTTGTTCCTGGACAAGGTGCTTCTCTTCAGATCAAAGTCTTCCTTTATAAAACTGGGATCTTACTGTCTTGTTAGGCAGTTAGTTATTAATACTCATAAGAGTATTATATTACAAAGATTTAATGAGATAATGTATCCCTCAGATGCTCAGAGAAATAGTGGAAGAATGGAATAATCTGTTCTTGAACTTTAATGCTGGAACTATTTGAGAATCCCAAATAAAACCCAATGTGTGTTTTTTTCATAAGTGTAACATTTAAATGTGGTAGTCTTCAGAAAATGTTACAAATTATGGTGATTAGCTGTTGTTCTTCGTGGTTTATACTTCAGGGTACCTCAGCTACTATATAACTTGTAGCTAAACTCATTTATAAATATATGACCTCATACAAGCATACGTATGAGAACTAAACAAGCTGTCACGCTGAAGTTTACGTGTCCATCGCCACGAAGACCGCGGAAACTGGATCAGCACAGGCGTCCCGGGGGCAGAGGTCAATCATGACCCGACTGCAGGACCAGTTTCTTTTTCTTCTTTTAAAGTTTTATTAAAGGTCTTTAGAGAGCAACATCCAGACCCCAGACTCAGCTGCCAAGGAGATCCTGTTAAAACTAGTTTTAGTACCAATGCTGCAGCAACAGAATCAAGGGAAACAAGAGAATGATTAGCATGCCCTCGCCCTGCCCCAATGCCTTGAGGGAGAGGACTGTCACTGTGGCCTCAGGGAATCCCTTAGATTCTTGAAAAATTCAAGAGAAAGATTATAAAAGCCCCCAAAGGAAAACACAGGATTTTTCTGCTCTGCTGAGCATTTCAAGACCCAAATAACTAGTCAGAAAAATCAAATCTGTGACATTATTTGGACCCCATGCATATTTTCATTCCAGTAGGGTTACACTGGAATGAAATGGAGACCAGTAGGACCCTAAGGATAAAGGTCTTACAAACCCTGAGATAAAGAACCCTGTGACCACTGCTCCATCTCACTAGTCTGGCCTTTTGCTGGTTTCCAGCTGGTGATGGGGAGTGTCTCACTGCCATCCCCATACTGCCTGCTCCCAACTAGGAACTCTCACCTGTCACGTAACAAGTAACAGTTAGGTCATTTTCAACCACAGTTTAGAGATAACTGACATTTTAACGTAAACACTTACTGATTAAAACCATTACGACAAGCATATCTTTCAGCAGACCATCCTTGAAAATCGAGAGAACTGGCATTAACATGCTTCTGAAGAAGGAGCTTGACCATGTCCGGCGAGTCATGAAACACAGCAAGCATCAGTGCTGATCTAAAATAAAAGAGACAGCTCCACCCTTAGGAACTTAGTTAGCATAACTCAAACAGTTAATTTGGTCTAGTTTACCAAGTTAATCTCCTGCCCACCCCTGGAGAACTGACCACTTACATGCTCGAGTGCTCATCTCTGCAAATGACCTCCAAGGCCACAACGGAGGGACAAAAAAGAAGCCTCCCGTCCTACCTGGGTAGCACACAGTAGAAGTTGCTAATTTAAAGTCCTCTGATGGACAAGAAAGGACGCTGAGGTCACTTATCAGAAGCAGGTAAAGATTTAAATAAAGGATTCCCCATTTCTTCCCTAGTCTGAAATATAATACTTTAAAATCAGCTAGAGGTCGGGTAAGGAGAAGCTGTTTGCACGCTGAAAACAGTAATATGAATAAAAATGGCAACAAAAATAGTACGGCTGCAGTGAATCACGCTGAGAAGCATGTGCCCGGCACTAACCTGAATAGTCTACGTATGGTCTTTCTTAGGCACAAACACCCTTGAAGGATGTACTACGACCCTCCTTTACGTGACAGGAAACATACTGGTTGGTAATAAGTCATGTCCCCAAGGTAACAAACCTGGCCAGCAGGAGAGCTAGGAATTCAACCTCGTCTGACTCTAAAGCCCAGCTCTTTCCTCTCTATCATCCACCAATCACTTGTCTTCTTTAAATGGAATGTTGATTCAATAATTAAAGCTATTTTTCTTCCTTCTACCATTATCAATTGAAAATAAAAACATCAAACTGTACTAGAAATGAAAGAGGATAAAAACTGATGAGCCCACAGTATCTGGTCATAGTTACTCACTTAGTGATACTCACTTAGTGGTAACCTAATAACATCAGTATCCTTCAAAGAAAGTAATTTAAAGCAGAATCATCCAAAAGGCAAAACAAACTCCTTTGTTTAATATGCATCTTTTAAGAAAAAAAATACACAAGTAGAGGTTAAAGAAATTATAGAATGAAGAAATTCAGTACTGTCTCATAAGGTAAATTAAAATCAGAGTCCATACTAATAAAACTAAAATGAAATCCCTGAACTACTGTAAGATCATATGACCAAAAAAAATCAGGCTGCAAATGACAGCAATCACTATTATAAAGGAAGATGAATCCTGCTGCATACCGTTCTTTGTGACACCAGGCAGAATAATTGCTTTTCTACCTAACTGATGATGTGTTGATTCTAAGTTAATCCTCTTCTTATTAAGTTAATCTTTCTGACTGGCTGTTACTACTCTAGAACAACATTAAGATTAAACAAAAAAAGAGAGGGAGAGAGAACAAACTATTGTACCTTTGAAGCATGTCGACTGCGTGTACATTTGCCCCGTTATCTATCAAAAATTTGACCATCTCTTCTTTGTTCTCCCTGACGGCGACTAAAAATGGTGTGAAGTTATACTGTAAAATAGTAAAAAGAGTTGATAATGTACAAAATTACATATACACTTCAAAACTGAATTTAAACACTTAAGTCTCTGAACTTAAAACATATACTATAAATAGTAAATAAAAAGTAGCCCCTTCCTCCTTGCCCTTCTGTGCTCCTTCTCTTGAAAAGGTTCCTCCTTGACCTCTTCTAAAGTTTCCCTGTGAAGTCATTCTCTGAAACTCACTTCAGACATTTGCTGGTTCCAAGAACCTTTGTTTCTATCGCAGTGTGTATCAGGCATTATCTAGTTACCTTACTGCTCAACTACTACTCCTGACACTCTAAACACTGCTCCGGAGAGAACCATTTAGCTACTGAATCAACTATATTTTTAAGGAGCCACGCTAAGGAGAAAGATACCATACTGTCTGCAACATGCATAACCTATCCAGTTACAACTATGACTAATCTCATAAAGCTTGCAGACATTCCAATGGGACTATGACTATTTGCATGTAAAGAAAAGTTTTTCTTAAACAACTTATGAATTCTAATTTGAAAAATTCCATCCCACTCTTAAGGGATTATTATAAAATATGAAGTAGACTATAAATTAATATAGACTGTCTTTAAAATATTGAAATATTTATCAAAGTATACAACAGGAATTGTAAATTCAAATGCTTACAGAGGCAACATAGGTGGCCCGAGTAAGTGAAGGTCCCAGGTGAGGACAGCAAACCAGAGAACACACGCCCCACCGAGAAGGGGCCACTTCTGCAGGGCAGACCGCACAGGAGCCTGGGCTCAAGGGGGACCAGATTTGATTCTTTAGGAGAAGTTCTGAAGTGCAGCTTTCTGCACAAGTCTCCTAAATTTTAAATGTTGATTCAATGTGTGGAGACAAACTAAACATACCCAGGGCCATGTTTAGTCTATAGCCCACTTGTGTTTTTATGTTTGCTGTGTTTCCAAACAGTTGGGTATAAATCAAGTATTTGTATGTAAAACCTTGCCTTTCTGTAGAATCATATGTCTTACACACAAAAACACTGGGCCCCAACATGTAATAAAAATTGTGATTAAGACTCATAATACCCACTTCAAGAATTTTTCCAATGCCTGCTAAAACTACAATCTACCTGTATCTAATTCTCCCTGATTGTTAATCAAATGGATAATCAGTTCATAAGACAGCCGAAACTAAGTTATTAAAACAATTCCAATTCATTACTAATGTCATGGGTCTTGATGTTTAAAACTGCCACCTTGCATGGTATACATATATATAATGGAATACGACTCAGCCATAAAAAAGAATGAAATAATGCCATGTGCAGCAACATGGAAGGACCTAGAGAGTCTCATACTGAGTGAGGTAAGTCAGAAAGCGAAAGACAAATCCCATAGGATACCACTTAATATGTGGACTCTAAAATATGATACAAATGAACTTATTTACAAAGCAGAAACAGACTCACAGACATAGAAAACAAACTGATGGTTACCAAAGGGGTAAGGGGGAGGGAGAAGAATAAATTAGCAGTTTTGGACTAGCAGATAGAAACTACTATATATAAAATAGATGAACAACAAGGTCCTACTGTATGTACTACAGGGAACTATACTCAGTATCATGTAATAAACCGTAACGGAAAAGAATATGAATATATATGCGTATATACATATAACTGAATAAGAATATACATAATTGAATAAGAATATATATATAACTGAGAAAGAATATATATATAACTGAATAAGACTATATATAACTGAATAAGAATATATATATAACTGAACAATATATATAACAATGAATTTTATATATAACTGAAAAAGAATATGTAACTGAAGAATACATGTAACTGAATAAGAATATATATATAACTGAGTAAGAATATATATAGCTGAATAAGAACATACATACATATAACTAAATAAGAATATATATATATATATAATAGAATCACTTTGCTGTACACCAGAAACTATCACAACACTGTAAGCCAACTAGACTTTAATTTTAAAAAGCTGTTATCTTGATTATGCTAGGGCTCAGTGAATCTAGCAGATATATTTCAAGAGTCCGTCACACAGCTTTAACCAAAAGAAGGCTCATGATTTCCTATTATTGCAATCAGAAAAACCCTGTTGACCTAATGACCTGGATGGGCACAAAAGGTGCAAAACCTTTAAAGGGTCCGACTCTACTTATTGAATCACTCACCACAACCAAGTTTATAGGATTGTCTGAATGTCACTGAATGATCAGTGGTTAGAAGGGAAAATGAGCTATTCTTCAAGGCAATAGATATTGCCAGTAATATTGCCAGGAAGGGACAGATAAAAGAGTCAGGCTAACACGGCTGGAAAGGAGAGCACTGAAAGAAGCAGCATCTATCAAACCCCCGCTCTTTCAGAGACGTCTTATTTTTGAGATCTGTGAATTTATATGTATTACACATACCCATTCAATAGTCCTTAACCAAGGGTTGTAACAGAATCTCAGGGAAGTATTTCTAAATACCTGTATCCAGACCTGAGTACATTTATTCAATCAAGATCTTCAGGGGAGAGCCAGGAGGAAAAGCAGGACGACCAGCTTTGCCATCACTTGCTCCTCACCTACAGCCACAGCCCCACAGGGGAGCTACACCAGGCTGAGCATGGAAGACCCCAAGGTGTACATGGAGAGCCACGTGGCCACCAGCACAAGTGAATGCCCCTGCTGGCTGTCAAACGTGACCTGACCTCACTTGCCCAGATTCTAGAACCTGGGATCCTGGGGTGCTCAGGGCCTGCGGTTTGCTGCCTTCCCTGCCCAGGTGCAGTCACCCAGCTCCCCCTACTGGGTACTGGGTTCCTTCCTCCTCCCACCCATCCCCAGGCAGGCACCCAGCCTTTGCCATCACTTTACTCCCCGCAAGCCTTCATCTTCTGTAGGCTCTGAGCCTACCACCCACTCCCAGGCACTTCCTAATGGGAAGTTGTTCCTTCTGGGGTACAAGTGCGGCTGGGAGACAGACCTCTGCCCTTTCTGTGGGCACTACCTGTAGCCCCTGGCCTTGGCTTTGGAGTTGTTTCCATGGTAACAGGGCCTTATGTATTCAGTATACATACTACTATAAATAAAACACCTGTAGCTAGAAAAGACCCTGTATTTCAAATATCTTGTAAATAAAGTCAGTTGAGCTATACCTGGTTTATCGCCTCGATATTTGCATTATAGCGGAGCAGCTCTGCTGCAATTGATGTGTTTTCAGCCAAGACGGCATAATGCAGAGCAGTGTTTTGAAAGTTGTCCTCAAGATTTGGGTCAGCACCCTGTTTCAGCAGGATAGTGACACACTCTTCTTTCCGGCATTGTACAGCCTGTTGGTATCATGCCAAAAAACAGACTGTAAGTGCTAGGCATTCCAGGTTAACATTCCTCAGTTTCAGCAGTTCATTATATTTAAAACAGATAAATTCATTTTTATTTTAAGTAATTAAATCAAATCCATCTCACGTGGACACGGTTGGCTGCTACACACCTTGATGAGAGCTGTCCTGCTTTCCTCGTCACGAGCATCCAGGTCACACTTCCACTGGGTAAGGAGAGCCACCACTGATGACTGGCCGCTGGCGCAGGCTAAGTGTAGGGCAGTCCTGCGAACATGAGAGAA